TTCCTATTCCGAACTACCGGTACACCTTGTTCCACGAGGAGTAACGGTAGTTCGGAATAGGAAGCCTAATCCGAACTACCTAGTGCCGCGTGTAGCCGTGGGCATGGAGTCCGAACTAGCAGACATTTAAAAATGGCGGCACCCGGCAATATGCAAATGAAGCCCGGGAAATTCAAATCCCGGGCTTCATTTGCAACTCTGGTTGCCTACATTAACCATCCTAGTTCGAACTAGGGTGGTAGTGTAGACATACCCAAACAGAGGCTAGGGACACTATTCCTACCCATTTTGGCTAATAAGAATTGATGGACCTAATCTCCATGAATGTATCTAGTTCTTTCTTGAACCCAGTTAAAGTCCTGGTCTTCACAACATCCTTTGTCAAGGAGTTCCACAGGTTGACTATGCGCTGCCTAAAGAAAAACTTCCTTTTGTTTTAACCTGCTACCTACTAATTTTAGGGATGCCAGATGTCCGGTTTTGTACCAGACAGTCCAGTATTTGAGCGTTCTGTTCGGGAAACAAACTGAGAAAATATAAATGAGAAAATAATAAATGTCTGGTATTTTCTAAATAAGATGTAAGGTAGATTGTGATGTAATGTCAAGTGTGTCCGGTATTTTTGTTGAAATCATCTGGCAACCATAACTAATTTCTTCTGGTAACACCTAGTTCTTATGTTAGGGGAACAAGTAAATAACTTTTTCTTATTCACTTTTGCCATAACTGTCAGGATTTTATAGACCTCTATCCTCAGTTTCCTCTTTTCTAAGCTGAAAAGTCCCAGTCCTTTTAATTCATATGGCACCCATTCCAATCCTGTAATAATTACTGTTGCCCTTTTCCGAACCTTTTCCAATGCTAATATATCTTTTTTGAGATGAGGCAATCACATTAGGGATGTAAGCGACTATTTGACTACCTGATAAGTCTAGGTGGTGTCTCTCCCTTTGAAACGTACAGGAGCCACCTCCACCCCTCCTGCTTATCGGGTAGTCAACTAGTCGCTTACATCCCTAGCACAGAGCAGTCTAAGCAAAGGGACAAGAATACTTCGAGTATAAATTATTCCATAATTGCCCATTTAAGGACTTGGTTAGTATTTTCCTCAAGGATCTTATACTGACCAATGCAGAGGCAGATGGGCTGCATGGACCATGGCACTGATAAAGTATGGTAATTCCTGTTTTTTCTAGGGATGTTAAATTTCGATTAATCAGCTAACTGAGCAGCTGAATGAATTTCCATTGATTACTTGATTAGTCAACAAGGGGCGGGGCACTCGCTAACCCACCTGTGGCTCTTACTACATTGAAAAGGCAGAGGTGCAGGCAGGGACTCAAGCAGGGCACAGCAGTCAGACCAGTGGGAGTAGGGACTGCATCAGCCCCTGCTCACGCCATTTCCTGCTGTGCCACTGCCTCCCCTGCCACAACCATGCTGGGGGGGACTGGCTTTGAAGTTGGCTCCCCCCAGCCCCAGCTCCTGCTCTCCCCTTGCTGTGGGGGAAGTGACTAGTTGAGTAGTGACTCAACTACCCAATAGCCTCTGCTTATCAGGTAGTGGACTGGTCACTTACACTCCTAGTTTTCTCCCCCATCTCTGATCCTGGACTCAGAGGTAGCAGCAAGATCACAAAACGTGTTTCCATATGACTGTCAAGAAAGCTTTGTCCTCTTCTGATGGACTAAGCTGAGCTATTGTTATCCAGCCCTTTGCGAGCTTCAGGCTGGACCGCAGCTCCACAACTGGGGCCATCTGCAAAAGCCTCCCTCGTATCACAGCTGGGCCATGCAAGCCTGATCCTAGCTGCCAACCCCAGTGCGAAGTCTCAGTTCCTAGCTCCAAAATCTCAAATGGGCAGAGGCCCAGCACTGGCTCCTCCACGCTGAGCCTGCAGCCACCTTGCACCCCAGGGCCCGCCGCGCACACGGGCAGGGGCCTCCTGGCCTCCACCCCACGCTGCGCCTTCGACCTGGGAAGCGGTTGGTTCGCAGGAGCGAAATGCTCCTGTCAGGCAGCGCCCCGCCCCTCGGAGACACGGCGCAGCGCAGGCCCCTGGCCTCCACCCCACGCTGCGCCTTCGACCTGGGAAGCGGTTGGTTCGCAGGAGCGAAATGCTCCTGTCAGGCAGCGCCCCGCCCCTCGGAGACACGGCGCA